GGCAAATTGATTTTTTTACTGCATTTCTTTGGCGTCGGAATTCCTCGAGGTGGAACTTATTTGACCAAGTGGATCTATCTGATGCGTACCACCAACTCAAGGTGGACAAAGAATGGCGGGAGCTTCTGACCATTAACACACATTAAAGTTTGTTCCAATTCACCCATTTGCTATTCGCGGTTAAATTTGCTCTCGCTACATTCCGGCAAACCATGGACACCATGTTGACGGGCAATGAAAAAGCCGCTGCCTATCTGGATGATATAATCGTCACTGGTTCGAATCTGGATGAATTGTTACAACGCCTTGAGACCATGCTCAGTCGGATTCAAGACCATGGTTTCCATCTGCGTTTGGAGAAGTGCGTTTTCATGCGTACTGTGGAATATCTCGGATTCATAATCGACAAGGACGGTCGTCGCCCAGATCCTGAAAACATCAACGTCATCAAACAAAGGCCTCCACCAAAAGACATAAATTCCTTACGCGCTTTCATGGGTCTTATGAGTCACTAAATTTCTTTCCTTCGGGAAATGCACCGCCTTCGTCATTCGATGAATAAACCGTTCTAGACAGATTTCAAGTGAATCAGGTCAAAAGAATGTCAACCTGACTCAAACATCTCGTATTATGCGCGGTCAGGACCGTTACCTTCTACCTGGTGACTTTTTCGAGTTAGCAACAACCACGAACTTGAGATTTCATCTATTCAAAGTACGTGTAGCCGGAGCCAAGCTGGACAAACGAACGTCCTTCTTTTATAACAGAATGGTCGAGTCATGGAATACTCTGCCCCTGGATGTTTCTATGTCCACTTCCGTTGAAGTCTGTAAGAGGAAGCTAGATTGCTACAGCAATCTTCATTCTAACACCAGCCGACCTCTGTTGTCTTGCCGCAGGCGAAAAAATATTGTATTCTTATTGTATCATTCACGGAGAGCAAAGGATAGATTAAGCAATGGGTCATGTAATACTCAATATTAAAGTTTTACACGATATCCACATCTACTATTGAGACAGATCAGCTTTCAACTTCTCAATTTATGCTTCTCAACATGTGAGGTAGCGTGCTAGGAATGGGAGTACAGAGTGCTGATATGCTGATGTGCGGCAACACATATGACGGAAGCCTCGACGCATTGGACGGGAAGACTTCGCAGTCATTGGTTCAGAGTGGAGAGGGTGAGTGACCTCATTAAGGATGCGATCAGCAAATTACTTGACCGTTTTAAAGTGGCGTTTTACTATAATGTCAGCTAAAAAACATAAGAAACACCGGTAGCTGAAGAGAGCATTCGGAGACTACGTTTAAAAATGACTAGATCTTTTTTAAGTAGGGCTGGAAAACTAACTGGAGAGCAGTAAAGAATGTGGAGGAAAAACAGGCATCTATAAAACGCCAGATTAGGGCTTGCGGTGTGGGGTATGAACGTAAACGGCGGCTATAATATAAAAGTGTACGGATTTTGATAAAAAGGCCTTCTATATGAAGAGCAAATTTAAGGTTGGATGCTAGAGTAACA